GGCTAGGCATAGGGCTAGGAATGGAGGACCTTGATAAATCCGGCCATGGCCCGACATTGGGCTGTCGCGCCATAGAAGTAGAAGAAGAATTCGTTTCTTCACAAACCTCTCTGGCCCTCCATCTTTTCCAACAATGCTACCAAGGTACACGACTGTTTCAACTTGTTTCAAGTCTTTTCTATTCACTGTTCGTTTTTTGAACATTGACTTAGTCCTGCTTCATCTTGTAGTTTTCTCAGCTACACCTCCATGTCCCAAAATCTCTGTGAAAATAGGTAAATGTCGTTTGGAAATTCAAGGTCCTCTAGTCTCTCTTGCATCCCTACTGAATACCATATTTCCTTCCTTCTGTAACCTTTCTCATCACTTTATCCAACAGCAGGAGCAATAGTATGGGTGACGGAATACACCCTTGGCTCACCCCATTATGCGCGACTTGACACTCAAATCCCTCATACATCTCCCTGATAACACTGACAATCTTCAAAGAAACCTCACATTCTTCCAGAGTATACCACATGATTTTTGTGATTAACGAGTCAAAGGTTCTTAAGTTTTAATAAGTATATTTGTTTAATCAATCATATCTACTTAAAAATGATATTTATCATTCTGAAATTTAATAATAACGATCCATTAAATACAATTATATACCTTGACGCATGACCGTGTGAACACAGTTGTAAAACCTGAAGAGTTACTTAAAAATAAAAACGATTCGTGTTAAACCTTGATCCGAAAAAACGACGAATCGTAGATGTGAAAACGGATCTAGTAAGCAATCTTAGGGATATTTCGGACTTTAGGGACTAAAAATGGTCAAACTCAATCATAATTCATATTTTAATGTTCGAAGTCATCTTATTTTGTCGGCAAAGGACATGATAAACGCAGAATATTCAACATTGCAATTGCTGTTATCTCAATAAGATAAAAAAACGTCCAGTAAATGTTTGCGTCAACCTTAATTATTGACTATAAAATAATCAATATGCTTAAAATGAAACCAAGCTTATTATGGAAGGTTGTTTATATTTTTTATTGTAAAACACTTTTTTAATATTTTTCAAAAGCAGATGTTTTTATCAATTATATTACATAGTTACATATTTACATAGATACCTATTTTAAAGGTATGGTTAGCTGTGGTGCCGCCACACTTATTACACTTATTATAGTCTGTACGTATTTCTGAACACAGATGAGTTGAACAATTTCTTTATTAACACCCCTCTTGACTTAATTAAAAATTTACCAACTCCTAAACATGAATGACTCTGAATGCTATCACACAAGTTGAGGTTCGTGTTAAAATAAACTCAATAAGGAATGGCAATGCAAGGGATTGCTTTGGATTCTCTGAGAATTATCAACCTAAATGTCTCTCCATTAACCAAACATATAAATTGTTCTTTGAAGGAAGGCACATTTCCGGACTTGCTAAAGAGTGCATTGGTAGTTCCAGTTTTCAAAAATGGTAATAATGAGGATATCAAAAACTACCGCCCCATAAGCATCCTGCCGGTGTTCTCGAAAGTGTATGAAAAGATTATTTATAATAGGATTGCAGAATACCTGGAGGGTCAAAATATGTTTTTTGGGGGGCAATTCGGATTTCGTAGGGGGCGTTGTACTGAGAATGCGGTGGTTGAGTTTGTTAACTTCTGCCACCTGTCGCGCGCTTTCGACTGTGTCTCTCATCGTATTTTCTTGCAGAAATTAGAAACTATATATAATATGGATCATATAACTATAAATTTGCTACACTCATATTTGTTGTGTAGATCCCAAATTGTAAAAACAGGTGAACTAACATCTAGCTCTGTGAGTGTAACTAAGGGAGTGCCACAGGGTTATTCAATTCTTGCATGGGGTGCTGATCCCGGGAGTGAACAAATGTTTAAAATACAACGTAGGGCTGTGTGTGTTCTGGCAGGTATAGCTTACAGGGATGATTGCCGCCCTGCTTTTGTCCGACTGTCTATTCTCACTGTGCCATCGCTATATATATTGCGTTGTATTATGTACGTTATGGAGAACCATAATTTGGTCGGAGAACATTCTAATATTCATTCTCACAATACACGAGGGTGTGAAAATCTTTGTCCAGACAAAAAAAGCGTTTTATTCCACACAAGAATTTTTAAATTGTAATGTTGACGATATGTAAATTTTGAGTAATTCTGTAGTTTTAATTACTATAAATATGTATGTAATATGTGTGTTTTGACAGGTGTAAGAGTGCATGCACTTTTTGCATAAATAAAGAAACATTATTAATATTAATAAGCTTACAGTTTCAAACATATATGTCTAATTAGGTTGCTTAGATTAGCTTACAACAAAAATTTTTGATCTTCACTAAAACGGTACTAACNACATATAAATTGTTCTTTGAAGGAAGGCACATTTCTGGACTTGCTAAAGAGTGCATTGGTAGTTCCAGTTTTCAAAAATGGTAATAATGAGGATATCAAAAACTACCGCCCCATAAGCATCCTGCCGGTGTTCTCGAAAGTGTATGAACAGATTATTTATAATAGGATTGCAGAATACCTGGAAGGTCAAAATATGTTTTTTGGGGGGCAATTCGGATTTCGTAGGGGGCGTTGTACTGAGAATGCGGTGGTTGAGGTTGTTGCAGAAATTAGAAACTATATATAATATGGATCATACATATAACTATAAATTTGCTACTCATATTTGTTGCGAAGCTTCCCAAATTGTAAAAACAGGTGAACTAACATCTAGCTCTGTGAGTGTAACTACTTGGCCCGCTTTTAATCCTTATTTATTTTAACGATTTTCCCTATTACGTAAGTAAAGACATAACTGGCTTAAAGTGCCTGCTTTATGCGGATGATGCCACACTGTTGGTTCGGGGATCTAATTACGATGACACATTGAAACTTTCAACAGAGGCGCTATTTAATTCTTGAATGGGGCGCTGATCCCGGGAGTGAACAAATGTTTAAAATACAACGTAGGGATGTTCGTGTTCTGGCAGGTATAGCTTACAGGGATGAATGCCGCCCTGCTTTTGTCCGACTGTCTATTCTCACTGTGCCATCACTATATATATTGCGTTGTATTATGTACGTTATGGAGAACCATAATTTGGTCAGAGAATATTCTAATATTCATTCTCACAATACACGAGGGAGTGAAAATCTTTGTCCAGACTTTTTCAGACTGTCAAGAGCCCAGAGCGGTCCCTTATACAGGGTGTATCTGAATGACATGCCCAAACTTCAGGGTGTGATTCTTTAGGCAATTTTAAGGGTACTTTGATATATAAACCATGGGCGACTTGGGCTCCCCTAAGGAGCTACACCCCTCCAAAAATGGCGGAAAATTTTGGTTTAAATTTTTTTTCTCAAAATCATAAACGCTAGGACAACGAAATTTGGGAAATATGTTTAACTGGTAGTAGGGCACGTTTTCACCCTATTTGTACTTTCAAGCTATCCTTCTAAACTACTAAACGTATCCACCCCCTTTACATTTTTGCTAAAATTTTTTTATGCAGAGGGTAAATACATTAAAAAAAATTACATAGGTAGATGAAAGTATCCTAAAACTTTTTTGTCTCTCTAAAATTTTTCCAAAAACGACTAATTTTTGAGAAAACAAATAATAAAGCAAACACTGTCCGTTCAACAACGGGGTTGTCGATCAAAAGTTGGAATGAATTTTTAATGAAAAAATCTTAGTAGGCTTTGCAATCTTTGTCAGAAATATTTTTGACGTTTAAATGTCAGTGGTTTTCTTACTATTATTATTGTTTTTCAAATTAATTTATGAATAAAGTTCTACCGCATTTACGCTCGTTCACTCGACGTTTCAAAATTTTAAATAAAACAATAATAATAGTAAGAAAACCACTGACATTTAAACGTCAAAAATATTTCTGACAAAGATTGCAAAGCCTACTAAGATTTTTTCATTAAAAATTCATTCCAACTTT